AGAGAAATTCTGTCCAGAAAGAAAGAGTGAAAGAAAGGGAGGGAGGAAAGGAGGGAGGGAGGGGAAAAAGGAAGGAAGGAAAAAAGATAGAAAGAGAGAGAGAGAGAGAGAAGGAAAGAAAGTTTTGTTGAGCTGGGCAGGGAGTGGTGTATATTTATTGCATTATTCCTTAATCTGCATTATTCCATACTTTCCACAATTATTTTTTCATTTTAAAAAACAAACCTTCCAGATGTGATGATGCACATCTGTAGTTTGATCACTTGGGAGTCGGAGGACTGAGCTACAAAGTAAAATCCTATCCCACATGCACGCACGCACACACACACACACACTGAACCTACTTTACCACCCAACCATGCATCTAAAAATGGCTGTTAACACTAAGAAGTGAGCATAAGGTGTCTCTGTTGGCTGTGCTCACCACAGACCTTAGAGTGCCCTCACTTTGATCATCCTCATTGTTCCCATGCTGCCCCAAAGGAGAAAAAAAGAAAAAGAGAATGAGCAGCAGAGGAGTACACATAACGAATGCATGACTACCAAACGCTCTCCATAGAGAAATGAACCCAGGAGGAAAGGGGCGTGTCCAACTTTGCTACACATGTGCTTCTTTAAAAGGCAAGACACTGAAAAACGTCCTAAGTCAAATAAGTGTCAACACTGAGGCAGTACTCGTGAGACTCCTTTGCCTCCTCCAGGAAGGTCAAAGAACCAGAGCAGGGTGTCATTGTTTCTAGTGTGTGCAAAATAAGTAGCTGGGCTGACTCCATATCATCTTAAAGCATTCTTAGTAACTGTGAAGATTCATGTCTACGCCATCTCCTTCATGATATATCAACTTATATAATTAATGTAAAGTTCTTCCTCAGGCACCAATTTTCTAATTGCCATGTATACACAGACAACTATAGTCAACTTTATCAAAATTTGCCTAAAAGCAAGGTAAATAATAAAAATTGGATGTGCCTTTATGATCACAATCAACTCATACCTCAAGTAGCCAAAGAAACAAAAAACAAACACCCCCCCCCAAATCATCCATGTAGTTATAGCTAGAAGCAAGGCCCAGCTTCAAAGGGAAAGATCTACCGTGTGTCCCCTCACATCTAGACACTTCAGAGGTAGTTCCTGAAGACCATGAGGCCTGGAGAGAGTGAGGCCAGGGGCTGGCACAACTTACTAAGTCCATCCAAGTTATTTATCAGGAATGAGGTTCTCCAGATTCTGGGAGATTTGAGATAGTAATGTGTTTGCTGGCAAAGGTGGGCTGAAGTAAGACTGTTAGGCTTAAGACTGTGACAAGTGAGCCGGGCAGTGGTGGTGCACGCCTTTAATCCCAGCACTCGGGAGGCAGAGGCAGGCGGATCTCTGTGAGTTCAAGGCCGGGCTGGACCGACAGCCACCAAAACAATACAGAGAAACCCTGTCTCGTAAAACCAAAAAAAAAAAAAAAAAAAAAAAAAAAGACTGTGACAAGTGGCAGCAGGATGACAGAAGACAATACAACACCTTTTTCGAGAATTTTTACAAAATAATATTGAATACAAACACTAAAATGCAAATCTGTGTTGTGAGAATTCTCAATACACTTGTTAGTCTCCGTGTAAATAAATAGAAGGCATATATTCTTAGGATAGTTCCCATTGAGAATGTTTAATCTAAACCCGTGGCTCATTAAAAGCAATCTGCTCTGGTACCTATAAGCATAATTCCCCAAATTCTAAATGAATCTTCTGCATATGTGGGTATAGTTTCAAAGAGAGAATGGAGTTTGAGATATGGATACATTCTGCAGGCAATACAACTTGGCTTTTTTTCTTTCTTATGGTGCTGCCTAGGTCAATCCGTGGACCTTAAGCAAGCCCAGCAAGTGAACTGCAACACCAAACTACACACCAGATCTAATACTTTGGATTTTCAGAGCCCAAACTTGTTTACAGATGATATCTTATCTAAATGACTGAAATAAAAATGCCTGGCTGAGAATATGCCCTTGAGAACATACAGTACGGAGGTATCACTCATTACTGTGCCCAAGGCCATGGCTGCATCCACAGCACCTGTCAATCTTGATGATGTTCCAGGAGTCCAAAGATGGGCAGACCACACAGATAAGAATTTACGACTCCAGTATGAAGTCGCAGGAATGCTACCTTGATCGGGATCCATCCTAAGCCTAGGCAATCACCTCCCCACACTTCAGCTCTCAGCGAAATGTAACATAAGGCACCTCCTGGGGCCAGGTACTGCACCAGTTCTTTCTTTCCTGATTTTCAGTGTTGGGGATGGAACCCAGGGCCCACACATGCCAATCATGCATTCCAGCACTGGCTGCATCCCGACATGTATTCTTTAACATTCTTTAACGCCCTGAAGCAGCCCTTCTACCATCACCCCTGCAGCCCATGGGTAAACTGTCTTCCCAGGTGATCTCAACCCACCAGGCATGTCCAGGTAGAGCAGGCCTGACGCTTCCCAAATACTGGGGAAGGACAGGGCCCAGCCCACGCTTCACCCAGGAACACCCTCAGTGGTACCTTAAATCACATCCAAATCACTTTACCTCCACCAATTCAAGCAAGGTTTAGAGGAAAGAACAGGAGGCTTGGAACCGAGAAATCCGGGGCTGAATCCCAGCTGCAGCACACAGACCAAGCTCTGTGACTGAGAACAAACAATTCCCCTTTTCCTAAGCCTCGCTTCCCTCACATGTAAAAGCGGAGACAATAAATAGTCAGCTCCCAGCCCTTAGTAGGTGCCCTGAAGATGACCCTCCCCTTCTCCCTTTCTCTTTCCTCTTAAATTTTTTTCTCCTACAGCTGCTCACAGGATTCCCTCCCCCCAACTCCCATGCTTCCTGTAGGCAGTAGCTTTTACACCTGCATCATGAAGACTCTCTTTAAAATCCTCTATCTGGAGATGTGATTGCAGAGCATCACCCAACTCTGGTTCCTGAAATAGAAATGACAAAACTTCAAATTGAAGCTAAAAGGGGACAGCTAAAGAGTGGGGGAGCAAAGGCCCTGGACTTCCCCAGCCTTCCTGTCCTCCATAACATAATCACCAGATTTAGCAAAGAAAATGAACATTGCCCTGTTATATTTTGATTTTACATTAACAATATTCCCGAGAAGTCCAGTGTAAGAGAGAGGGAAGGTGTCTTAGTTGAAAAGAGCAACAGAGGAAGGACACTAGGGATTAGCCACAGAGTGACTGTGTCTTCCGCTCAGTACTGCCAAAGAGACCCACAAGTCCTTTGGCTGAGAACGAGGTCCTGGGGGAGTCCCAGGAAAAGCCAGGAGGGATCAAATACCTGATGGTGTGCTTTCATGCCCGTTAAACAGGGCAGTTACAGGTGTCTAGCTTTGAAGTCTAACGTTGACCAGCCTGTACTAACTCTGCCCACCAAATGCTGGACATGTGTGTTTCATGTTTCACTTTTTATTTGTTAATTTAAAACACACATTCTTAGAATTCTAAGAATAAGGACTTGCTATCTTTTGGTTGTTGTTTTGGCATTGCCAGGGCTAGAACCCGGGGTCTTGCATGTGCTAGTCAAGTGCTCTACCACTGACCTAAGGACGTCAGAAAAGATAAGCGCCCACACCTAAGTTTAAATGGCTTTTCCACTGATGCATGTGTGTTTGCATCTGAATTTCCTGTCCTAAGTGGGAAAGGGTGCTAAAAATTGCACGTATGACTCAGTGTGCAATGAAATACCGTCTCAGTTGGATCACTTCTCAGTGGGCCCTCTGGTTTGTGCCCATCCATTCTCTTCCCAGTCCAGTTGCCAAGAGGATCCACCTAAAGAGTAAGTCAACACATCGCTTCCCTGCTCAGAATCTGGGGGGGGGGGGGTCCCATCTTACTAAGAGTGAGAGGCAAAGTCTTTCCAGTGGCCTCTAGGTCTGGAGGAGCCTGGATCTCCCGGGCCTCCCCTGGGTCACCCTGGGGCAGCTATCCTGGTCACAGCACACAGCATCCTTGCAAAGGGCTTGTTTTCCCCTTCTTCTTTGTTCTCAGACCAATTTCTCCAGTCTTCTGTCCCCCTTTGCTACATTTCCCCCCCATGCCTCCAAGCTCATCAATCTACCGCATGTTTAATTTAACTCCACATTTGGAATATCTCCCACTAGAATTTGGGCAGACGTCACAGCATTTTGTTTGCTGCGGCATTGTCAGTACAGAAAATACATCGCATTCAGTCAATGGAATTACTTGTTGAATGCTGAATTGACACAAGACAGAATGTCAATAATGATGAATTATCCTGGGATAAAAATGAATAAACACAGGATTTCCTTCAAGATGTGGAGGTGGTAAACCAGCTCTTCCCCACGAAACCCTGCATTTTCTTCCTCATGAGAAAAATGCAAAGACTTGGGAGTTTCCTGCTTCTGATATTAATACTCAAAAATATGGTGTTGTCGTCAGCTCTCGCCCAGAGTGTGTGAGGCCAGCACCGACGTCAAACCAACAAAACCAATCCAGATTCATTGAATGGGTGTGGCAGATAGACCTGTAACTCCAGAACTCAGAAGGCTGAAGAAAGACAGCCTGGGCTACACAGAGAAACTGTCTAACGTACACACAAATGAAAAAAAACCCATAAACAAACCAGCTGACAAGATGATCAGTGGGTAAAGTCACTGATCTGACCACCAAGACTACTCAGGTAGAGAACCTTTCCAGCAAGTTGTCCTCTGACCCCCACGTATTTGACACAGAACATTCCCCACCTCACACACGCAAAATAAATTTTAAAAAATCTTAAAGCAGAACTCCATTTTTCTACTGGTGGCTTTGTTTGTTTGTTTGTTCTAATAATACGCAGTGCTTCCCAGGTCCCTACTCAGATAAAAGCAGTCAGTAAGTTCTAAAATAAAGAATGCGATCCAACAAAATTGCAGGACTGCTTCAATCTATGCTGTCCAATCAAATGACCGGCAGCCATAAGTTCCATAAAGGCGCAAAGCACGGAACAAAATTCCGCTTACCTCCCGACTGAGTCCTGAATGAGCTGCTGCAGGTCCACCTCCTGCTTCCGCAGGGTTCCAAACGAGGAGCGCCCCTCCACCAGGCCTTTGCCGCCTACGTTCAGCTTGACCTTCCCCACAACCGTCCGGATGCTCCCACTCATGTGGTTCTCGAACTTGCTTTCATATTTCACGAAGTCTGACTCCACAACCACTGGAAAGAACAGAGCAGAGGAATCTGAAAGCAGCTAAGGCGTGGGCTGCCCGCTTCCCAGCCGCTGTGCTGTGTGGGCATTTAGTAAAATGCAGTCGGCACACCTACACGCGGACTGAGAGCAGCCGTGGACCGGCCAGAGTTTAGATTGCTTAGCACCTCTTTAGCCGCTGTGATGGTTTATACTGATTCTCAACTTGAAGGTATCTAGAATTACCCAGGAGACAAAGCTTTGGGCATGCCTAGGATGGGCTTTCTAGATTGGGTTAACTGAGGTAGGAAAGACCCATTCTAAATACGGGAGGAACCATTCCATGGGCTGCCGTCCCAGATCACACGCACAGGACATAGCTGACTGCTGACCTAACTTGACCCTCTCCCTCTTTCAGGTCTGTCTCGCCATGATGGACTGCACCCTCAAAGTGTGAGCCCAAATAAACGCTCTCTTATGTTGTTTTGGTCAGGAACTTTTGTCCCTGCAAGGACCAAAAGTAACTAAGACGGCCACCAGCTGGGGTAAAGACTGAACGGGGTTAAAAATGAAGAATGACAAGTGACACCTGTGCCCATGCTACTGTTGCAAACGCCAGGGGAGCAACTTAGCATGGCAGATCCTCCTGGACATCATTACCTCCCACCACCATCGTGAACAGCCCCGGTCCTCCTCACCATCTCCCAGCAAATGTAATGTTTATGTTACATCTGAGCTCTAGTCAGTCGTTCAGTTCCTTACCGCGTTAGTCACCAGGCATGCCCATCCCCCTCCCCTCCCCCCAAAGCACACAAAACCGAAGACTAGCTTTCTTTCTGCCCTGGCTTTCCAGGCTCTAAGGAGCAAAGCAGTACCAGCTGGTATTCCACTGTCAATCAAGTCCGCTGGGAATTACCTTGTTCCTCTCCACAGTCAGATGTCCTCCCACGGAGCTATCCCCCTGGCTCTCCATCGGCCCACATGCAAGTGAGGGCTGTCAGGGCACCTTCAGGGTCCACCCTCTGCTCAGAACCCTCATGGGAACTGCCAGCCTTGGGTTTTGTTTTTTGTTTTATTCTCTCTCCCCCTTTCCCTTTTCTTTCTTGGGTGCTCAGTATTGAATTCTGGGTTTCCTATATAGGATTCATGTATTTTACTATAAATATATGCCCCCCAGGCCACTGCCCCCATTTTAATCTGTCATGATACAACCTTAATATATTACAGCCTTAATCACCACCATTTGGTCAGGATACAAAAGAGCCCAATGTGAGCATCACACTCTGCCTCTTCATGTCCTTCACCCAAGCATCTCCTGGCCTCTGGGCTGATCTTCAGAAGGGATTCCAAACCACCTGGAGGCTGACAGACTTCTTTCTACTGACCCACTACCACAAGCAGGGAATGCGGGACAGGACTAGAGGCCAGGTATAACCCACAAAGGCCCCTGTCTAGTGACCTACTTTGTCAGCTAATCCAATCTCTGATAGGTTCACTGCCCTCAGAATAACACCATAGCTGGAATCCAGGCATTCAAAACATCAGACTAGGGGGTACATGTTTAGATTCAAAATGTAACATTCCCAGAACTGATCACACAGCAGATAGGGAGAAGTCAAGAATGTGTACATAAAAATGCCACCCTGGACACACCCGCAAAAAAGATGTCACTTAATACACAGTTCTTTATCAAGTTGTAACCTGAAAGAAGGGAGCATTGGGCTATCAGTGAGCCACCAACAATCCAGTCACCACCTTCCCCTTCCCTATCCTAAGCAACACTCATGCCAGGGCTGAAGCAAGCGAGAAAAAGCAACAGTGATGAAGCCTCCCGAGCCTGCGCTTTCTAGCCATGACTCCAACAGGACTCAGGACCCAGCCTGAGCTCTGACCTCAAAGGATGGTCACATTCAGGGATCCCTTATCTGTGGTGACAAGTGACATCACCAGTCTAGCTGAAGTCTGCATAATCTTTCAAGATACCACCAACTCATCATTTCAACATCACAGAGAAAAATCCCAGTACTCAGCAGCCCTTGGTGTGGTTCATGATGTTTTCTCTCTTGTTCCAAGTTACACTTAGCTATTTTACTACTCAAAAGAGGTTCCACCCTCAGGTACACAGACCTGGGGGTAGAGAGGGAGGGATGGTTGATACAGTCAACCTAACAGGCTCTAGAATCACCTAGAAGGCAAGCTTCCAAGCATGCATGGGGAAGGTGGTCTAAATTAGGTCATCTGAGATGGAAAGACTCATCCTAAATGTGGCAGCACCATTCTGAGGGGTGGGGTCCTGACCAGAATAAAAATGCTAGAATCCTTCTCTCTGGCTGTGGTGCAGTGTGACCAGCAATGTGTGTCAGGTCCCTGCTGCCATGACTTCCTTCCCCAAAACTGTGTGTTAAAATATTCTGTTTCTTTCTTAAGTTGCCTCCTATCTCATATTTTGTCACAGAAATGAGAACAGCAGCTAATGTGTGTGTGTGTGGGGGGGGGTATGATGTGAAATTCAGATCAATCTATCCTCCCATTCCATGGCAGCCCCAGCGACTGGCTGAGGGCAGCATTGGCAGGAAGGCTCTTCTTGAAGCAAGAGTGGAGACTGCAGACCTGAGTGAGTGACTCAGGCTCCCCTTCCTTTTGGTAGACATGCAGTCACAGATGTCAAAACTTTACTGTGAAGGAGAAATTAGACATGGTTCCATCCAATAATTAAGCACTGTCAATCTGTCACACATCACCATGTTCCAGGAAGTAAGATAGCAAGGAGTAGCAAGTTTCAGAAAGCTTTCAACCTCCGGTCCAGGAAGACTGAGGAAGTATGCTAATGCAACTGTTTCAAAAACAAGCTAAAAAAATCACAAACAAAAATGTTCCCTGCAGCCTTATTTATTAAGCCCAAAATTTGGAATAGTTAATCAAATTAGGGTACATATACACAAAGGAATATTCTGCATTTGTTGAAGTAGAATTAAAAGCACCTAAACCTACAGAGGAAACTTACATAATATTAAATAAAATACATGAGGAGTATATCAAAATTGTATACAACATTTTTCTACTTCTGTTTGTAAAATATATTTAGGAGTGAGGGCTTGCTGCACAGCAAGGACCTTAGTTCAGATCTCCAGTATATCATAGAAAAGCCCAGGCTGCACTAGCATGGCCCACATCCATGACACCCTGCTCAAAACAATAAGGTAGAGAGTTACAGAAGACACCTGCTGTTGACTGGCTGTCACATGGGCGGGCTCACTCACACACACACACACACACACACACACACACACACACCACAATTTTTTTCTATTAGATGAGGTTTTAAAAAAAGACCACAATCTAAGAATTAATGGATATTGACATATGATGTTATATTATGAAGTTTTTTTTCTTTCATCTCTTTGTGTACTTTATAAACATTGCCATGTGTTGCTTAGCAACAGGGTCAAGTTGTCAGAGAAGCATCTGTAGATGACTTCATCATTGTTGAGACATCGTAGAGTACTCTTATCAAGATAGTGCAGACATCATTAGCAGACGAAACCTTAAGAAATCCCAGCATAAACACAGCCTGTCATTGACCAAAAGGTTACGTGGCACAGACTAGACGAGAGTACCACAGGCTATCCACTGTGTTCTTTGTCTGCTGACAGCTGTCCAACCCATCGTCAGTCCCCTTATTTCTCTATTGCATATCATACAAACTGATTAGAAGCCCAGGTGGGGCTGAAGAGATGGCTCTGTCAGTAAAAGCACTCACCACACAAACATGAGAACCAGAGATCAAATGCCTGGAACCTGTAAATTTAGATATAGTATTCCTGCAGTGAGATGGGGACCAGACAAAGAATCCCCAGAAGCTCTTGGGTCACACAGCATCAGACTAGTATACAAGATGGCAGAATGGCTGGAGACCTGGTCTCAAACAAGGGGAGTAAGGACTGACACCCAAGATTGTCCTCTAACCTCCACTGGTCACACTAGCTCTGAATCTGTCTGTCTGTCTGTCTGTCTCTCTCTGTCTCTCTGTCTCTGTCTCTGTCTCTGTCTCTGTCTCTGTCTCTCTCTCTCTCTCTCTCTCTCTCTCTCTCGCACGCGCGTGCGCGTGCACACACACACACACACACAGGAAGGGGTGTAAGCAGACATGCAGAAAGTAAAAAAGCACCAGCCCAGGGTCCCCTCGCACTAGGGCCGGTGGAAAGTAAACCACAGAATCACAATTTTTGGCAGGGAATTTTACCAGCTGCCACAATAAATGCCAAGCCAATTTCTTTAACAAGCCCTCTACAGACCAGCATGGGAGATGGTCCTGCTCCTCTCAGAAGTCGTTATGTAAGAAACAGAACTTCCTGCCACTCTGATCAGTCTATAGCATTTTTAGTCTCGATACTAAACCAAAGTTTGTATAGGGGAGACATCCCACCTATGCCAAACGGCTCTGACATTCATGATGGGCACAACGAACTTCTATACCCAAACTGACTATCACCTTTACAACACTGTGGTATAACATTTCATTTCAGGAGTGCATAGTTGGGCTCATTAAGAAAGGATATCCTTGCCAGGTAGTAGTGGTACACACCTTTAATCAAAGCACGTGGGAGGCGGAGGCAGAGGCAGGCAGATCTCTCATGAGTTTGAGGCCAGTCTGGTCTACACAGCGAGTTCTAGGACAGGTCCAAAGCTACACAGAGAAACCCTGTCTCAGAAAAGAGAGGGGGGGGGAAGGGAGGGAGAGAAGGAGGGAGGAAGGAAGGAAGAAAGAAATGAAGGAAGGATAACCTTTTATCCTTTTATACCACAAAGCCAATGAAAAGGAAGAATTCAGTGTAAGGCACCACCTCCATCCCAGATGCCTAGAAGAGCCACTCTCTGTTTGGGACTAGTCACTGTATCTTCACAAGGAAACATACCTGGACTGAGCCATTGTCCTTCTGTGAGAACATCTCCCAGGGTGACAGACAAAAACTGGTACTTGGGTCTCTGCCAGCACCAGTACCGCTTCTTCTTGGTCATCAGACTCAGGAGCTGCAGCTTATCGGAGTCATTCAAATTTGAGACTGAGATCAGGTCCCCTCCAGCATCAACCTCTTTAAGGAAATTCCGAGTCGCCTTGGCAAACATTTTGTCAGGTTCAGATTACCTGAAATATAAGGTTAGCGTAGAGTTACTTTGTGTTTTTTTCCTAGAATTGGCATATTTCTCTATAGTAACTATAGCTAATATGAAAGAATGTGTCCTCTCTGTGAGTTCAGTTGATGACAAGGAAATCAAGTTGAAAAAAGGGAAAAGCTCAAATAGAAATGCTGGGAAAGAATGTTCAGGATAGGCTAGGTTATACTTCTGAAACAAACAACCCTGAAATCCCAGTGCCTTCCAGCCCTGGTTCTCAACCTATAGGTCACAATCCCTTTGGGGTCAAATGACTCTTTCACAGGAGCTACCTCAGGCCATCAGCAAACACAGGTGTCTATGTTGCAATTCATAATAGTAGCAATGAGAATGATGTTATGGTTGTAGGTCACCATAACATGAGGAGCTGTATTAAAGGGTTGCTGCAATAGGAAGGTTGAGGACCACCAACTTACAGCTATAAAAGTTTATTTGAGCTGGGCTTGATGGTACACATCTGTAATCCCATGGAGCAGAAATAAGAGCATTAACACACACTTTAGGGCAGCCTGGTCTGTATTCTGGGTTCCAGGCCTGGACTCTATTCCAGATAGAAATTATTTGCTGCTTATACTGCATGTCAATAAAAATGGAACAGGTAAGGTCTGGGTTTTTTGTTGTTGTTGTTGTTTCTATTTGTTTGTTTGTTTTTGAGACAGGGCCTCATTCTTTAGCTGGCCTGGACCTCATTGTGTAGCTCAGGCTGGTCTCTAACTCAGAACAAGCTTTTCTGCCTCAGCATCCCAAACACTGGTGTTGAAGGAGCAGGCCACCTGGCTGAGAGTTTTGTTTGCTTTGGACATTCAGAGGATCAAAGGGAAAACCACCATCTTGAACATTATCAATCATTGTACAACATAAAAGAGAGTTCTAGAAGTCTCACATTAGCAATTAAACATCCTGGCAAAAAGGCACTGACGGCTCACTTCCTAAGAAGTTGTCAAAACACAGTTTTAACCAACCTTGAGAGTCAAGAATATAACCCTACCACCAAGAAGGCAGAGACCTTGGGATATTTGTTGACATAATGACTTCCAAACATTCAATCAACAGCATATTGGAGACACTAAAAAATAATTGCATTGTGTGGAACATGTGCAGACTTACCCCTCCAAACAATGCTGTAATAAGCAAAAGACCAATTGTATAAACAATGTACAGGTGATTTAAACATGACAGATGCTTTGTGCAGGATGTAAGCAAACTACACCATTTTGTAGGAGGAGGGTTACCTAAGGAAGGTGGTCCTGCACTGCCAAGTCCGGCATGGCTTGGCCCTGGAAACCTGCCTCAGTCATTGAGGAAATGGACAGACACACAGACACAAGTACAGAAAATCTGGGATCACATGGGCTGTGCTTGCTCTGGTGGTGCAGCACCCGCTACAACAGCAACTTAGAAACTCAGAACGTTTATTTTATACAACTGAAATCCGAATTGAGGGGGCTGATTCATTTGCAGGTGAATAAGAGACCACAGCTGAACAAGAAGATGGGCTTAGCCAGTCTTGGGCAGGAGGGCTCCGTAGGGAAGCAGTCTCAGGCTGTAGTCATCTGGGAGGAGGAAGCTATAGCTGATAGCTTTTGCACTTGGCAGAAGAGGGCTTTGCTGTTTCCCTCTGAGCCTCAGAGACTTTCCCTTGCCATAGGTCTCAGACATCAGGGACCTTGACATGGCCGCACCAAGTCAACAGTGCACATTCCCTCAGAGCTTCAGTTGCTCCTTATACATTCGCCCAGGACTTCCTCCATGCCCTTCACTACCTAGGGACCACTGCCGTTCTGTGAAAAGTCAAAGACAGATCTTTCTCCACATTGTGTGATCTGCTCAGAAATGAATACTAGCTAGCTATAAATTTTTACCCCAGAAATGAAAGTATAATCACACTTCAGCTGCAGGGGAGAAGGAAACTGGGAAGATACAAAAGGAAAGTAGTGTGTTCAGTGGGAGTGTAGGCTAGTGAGTGGGTCAGCTTTCTGGACAAATAACCCTATTCCTTCTTTACACCAACACAACAGAAAGATTAGTAATAAATCAGAATTTCTTTGAAGAAAATAAATTCAGAGAAATATTTTTGCAATCATAGGGTAAAAGGACATTTATACAGACAAATTGCAATGTGAGTGAATATTTGCAATATTTATGACGAGAGTTGTTATTTAAAAGCAACTCTTAGTGGCCAGCAAGATGGGTCAGGGGTTAGGATCACCCATTTGTTTCTAGCGCCCACTCGGAGGCTTACACTTGTTGGGAAACTCCCGTTCTAGGGGGTCTCATGCCCCCTTCTGGCTTCCTCACGCACTGCGTATACCTGGCCCACGGACATACTATACAAACACCCATATATAAAATAAAAATAAATAGTAAAAACAAAGTTTTACAAATCAAATACTTGAGTAGAACAACCAAAAATCTTATGTTACAGCACATGACTTGAGCGTAGTCATATACATACAATTTATGCACAGACTTCAAGTCACATATTTAATTTTATACAAAACAAGTTGAAATAACACTTTTATTTGCGTGGCAAATTTATTTTTGTTTCTTTGTTTTCTATTGAGGCTTTTTAAAAGTTGGGTATGTAACAGCTTAGGCTAACCTCAAATTTATAATCCTCCTGCCTCATCCTGCCTGGTTTTTTGATGACCATTGTGTGCCATCATGCCCAGCTAAAATATTTTAAGACTGACTACAAACAAATTAAGATGCCCAATAGGCTAAAGTTAGTGTTTGTCTGTATTCCTGCCCTGGAACTTGGCCAATCACTTGGGCACACAGTCCTCTTGGAAGTTAACAGGGTGGGTGTGGTCTTGGACTTTACCCTGTTTGATTCACTTTATTCAGTGCTCATCTTCTCTGGGTTTCAGAAACACTGGCCTTCCCTACTTCTCCAAAGCAACTTTTCCTGGTTCCGATGAAGCAGTAGCTGCTTCAGCCTTTTCTTATACATTCAGAGCGAAAATAAATATTTGAAGAGAAGCGAGGTTCCTGTCTGAACAACAGGCTGTAAACACCATGACTAGGGATCTTGCCTTCAATGGAACACTCATTTATTCATTTGCCAAGCTTTTAACTGAGTCAGTCATTAAGAATTACTGCATACACACTAGGTTCTGGGTTGAAGTACGCAAAACAAAACAAAACAAAACAAAACAAAAACCTCTAGGTTTATGCTGAGTTTGTTGACTCATGCCTGTAACCCAAGCACGTATGTAAGCCAGGAAGATAATTGTGAGTTCTAGAAAAGTAAACTGGACACACACACACACACACACACACACACACTTGAGGCAGCTATTGGCAGGTTATGGTGGAAAATGAACAACAAAAAACCTTGTCTGTTTGAGTGGACACAGGCCTCAGTATGCTAGTGATGTCAGTGGCATCTAGACTGCACTTCATAGCCAAGGAGAATCAGCGAGAATTAGTCAGTCTGTTGTGACAGAGGCACATTCACAGAAGGGGAAATGGCAAGGCGTAAGGGAGACCAGGAAGGCAAGGCAGGCTATCAGCAAGCTTCTATGCTGCTGCTCTGCCACCACCTTACTGACAGACTTAGAACGCTTAGTGAGCTTTGGGATTGATGAGCATTTGCAAGGCAGGGTTCCAGAACAGAGAAATGATGGGAACAGGCTGGGAAGGGCTCTGGGCCAGGGCCTGAAGATCGGAGTGCCCCTGTGGGAGTGTCAGATGAGCAAGACCTATGGGAGGGTGTGACCAGAGAGCAAAGGTGATGAGTGCAGTCACCCAGATCTTCTAAAAAACAAAGTGAGGTGGGAGGGTAAAGGTACTTGCTGCCAAGTCTGACGACCAGAGTTCAATCCCAAGGCCCACAGAGAGGAAGGGGGGAACTGACACCTCTGCAGTTGCTCACACATACACAAATACATAAGTGTAAGCAGAGAGTGGGCGGGACAGAAACAGGGTAGAACCAGAAGCAACCTATGATGCTCCAAAATGCCAGTATCCTCCATGGGAAAGATGCAGATTTGGCCCATTCACTAGAACTCTGGTTGGGTGGCCAGTGATGATGCAAGACAGGAGAGCCTAGGATGCTCTCCAGACCGTCCAGGCAGGTGGTGGGCAACGAGACAGCTCAGCCAGTTACCCAGAGATGGGCTCAGGAAACTGAGGGCAGCAATTGCCGTGACTGTCTGAGGGACAAGGTGCAGGATTTGCTGTGTCAAAAAACAAAGGCCTTTGAGCAAAACTGGGCATATGAAAACTCATCCGGATAGTAGGACAGGTTGTTGAAGTTCGCCCTTGATGATGGGATCATTATTTTCATAGCCTCTAGATCCTTTTCTGAAACAAACTGAATGGGAGTTCGCAAACCCATCTTCGCATCAAAAGGGTTTCTATGGAGGCAATGTCAGACTTGCTGTTAAAAACAACAATTGAACCCAGCTGTTGTGAAGGCACAGCTGTGGCAACAGCAGCAACTCCCCTGGAGGGATCAGCAGGTGAACAAAGGGCACTTTACACTCATTTTCAGTGGGGCTTTTCTTGTTTCAGCTAACCTGGAACCTGGCCGATTGCCTTCTTGACAGAGTAAGTTGCTTAGGGAGGCACTGGGAGCCTGCTGCTCTCAGAGCTTCTGTTAATTTACATGGCACCAAAATCTATGAACTCCCATTTCCTCCCATGCGTTCATCCTATCTGCCCTTTACGTCCCTTTTACTATCATTATCTTTGTGTTTCCTTATGTAAATATAAATCTCAAAGACTGCACATCCCTCTACACTTGCTTTTCTTATATAGTGATATAACCTATAGATTACACCACACCAGCACCTTCTTATTTACAGTTACATATTACTCCTTCACTGAATGTATTACTACTTAGTGGCCCTGTCATATATAATTCATCAGTTGTATTTTTTCCAATTTCTGCTATTTTAACAATGCTGCCATCCAGATGTGGTGACTCAATCCTGTAATCCCAGTACTACGAAGGCTAAAGTGGGA